TCCGCCTCCGCACCAACTCCTCTCGGTACTCACTATAGCGCAAGACAATCACTAAAAAAATTGCAAAATTACTCCAATTTAGCTATCCTGGCATTCTCAACCGAGACACATTTCCCCTCCGTTCCGTGCCCCCCAAGTCATTTCGAGTACTCACTATAGGCATAGACATGCTCTACAAATTTGCAACATTTTTAGTTGCAAATTTACTACCTGGCATTCTCACCCGGCAGACATCTTTGTCTTTCCCCCTCCCCTCCCCTCCCGCCCTCTCAAGTACTCATCACGGCAATTTGCAACTTCTTTAGTTGAACTTTCAAACAGACGGACTCATACTAAAACAATTCTTTAGCACCACTAGATTAATATTATATTATTTCGTATAATGCTAAGCAAATATTGTTCTGTCAGTTAGTAGCAGTAGTGTCTGTGGCACCGAAAGATTGGAAGATACACATCCAACGAATGAAGGAAATGTAATTTCCAAAATTAAAAATACTAATATACAGAATGAGTCACGTAACTTTAGCACCTGCTATAACTTTTGAACAGTTGGAGATATTGCAATGCAGTTTTCACAGAAATTGCACGGGAAATTGCAAGAGAATTAACACATGTATTAATTTCTATTTATCACTTGTATTTTACGAGATATTTAAGGTAACTTTGTTATTTCAAATACAACTATACATATTTTTTAATTCATCATGACGAACGTAAAAAGATGAATCGTATGATATTCATTTTTTCTTCACACTCTTCGAAGAGATAGTGCTACTTGCACTGTTTAATATGACGAAAAGTTCATTTCAGTTGTTTTGTTTTTTTGTTTTTTTTCAAAAACTTACACACACATTTTTTTGCAAGATCTCTCACGCCAGGAATATGCCAATATTTCCAAAGTATTAGTAAACACTATTGTATTTGTGAGTTCAAGCGCTTCAAATGACTTCAAATGAAGTTTTCCGAAAACTCAAAAAAATTCTGTGAAAAAGAGCTTTAAATTTTTATTTTACAGTAGCGCTTAAACGCCATTTTCTTAAAAACGGCTTCCCATATTTAAAAGAAAATTGCAATTTAGGACGAGGTTTTACTGTTATTTAATATTCATAAAATATTTTTTCTATTATATAATTAGGACACCGAAATATTTAAGAAATTTCAAAAAAATGTACTTTGGGCGGCGATAGCTGGCATCTGGCAAGGCATTTCGTTCAGATTACGGAAACCAGCAGTCGGCGTGCGTCTTTTAAAACTCTTAATTTCTCGCAAATTGTGTTATGTAACATATGGCGATATGCATATTTATGGACTCGTCTTTTCACGCTTGTTATGATGAAATAACAAAATCTATATGATTCCATTTTAAAAAACCGAAGTTGGGTCATATCTCTGCAATGAAAAATGCAATAGAATAATATTATGCATGACCATATGTGCCCCTTGCATATAGTAGTTTTAGTGAAAACCGCATCTCAGTATCTGCAACGATTCAGGAGAAAATTGAAGGGAACATCTTCGGTGGGCCACACGGTATATGCTCTGATTCATGTGTTATACTCCTGGCATGCTGGTTAAAAGAAACACCACACATGCCCTTTGCTGTTCTCGTATCTTAGAGGGAATCAACGAATTGCCCAACAGACTGTTATTTTTGTCGGACAGAAATAGTTGGAAATCAAATGAAGAAAACTGTGAAATATCCTAATTTACTCTCTGCTATAAGGCCTATATGTTATATTGTAAAGAACTGGCGGTACCGCACCCCCCTTAGAGTATGGCACTGAGTAAAGCTGAATGACACAGTTCTGGATATTTAGACGTCGGAGTCTCGGACGCAGAGTCATCCTTGTTAACCGAACATTTCAAGCCTCCTTTGACTCAAATGAAGCACATCGTGTGTCTCAAGGGAATCTCAACGATCGTGTTCGTGATTTAAATTCGTCGAAGCGAAAGTCGGAGCTTTGAGCTGCGCGACTAAAATAATGGAATCTTGCTTCCCTTGTACGAAACTCTTTTTCGAGATCGCCAAATAGTTGGTTCTTTTTTCAAAATATTTCTCCTAGGGACATAGGTTGTTGTTGTTTTTTTTTGTAGTGATATCGAGTCCATTATGAGTTTCATCAGGACATTCCTCAAATGGGACAGAGTTATCAAGAGAATTTGAATGGCGCAATGCTCTCAGACTACTAGTGGAGCTTATGAAAATGTAAAGGTATGATGAGTATCGTATCGCACGAAATAGTAAAGAAATAGTTTTCGGTCTGTTTCGTCACTTTTCTCAACACTTACGTTGTTGTAGTCATCGTATACTTTACATCTGTTGTTATTCGAGCATGATCTTTTTCCAGATACACATAGGGAGAAAACGCATGTGCAAAAAACGCAAAAAACTTGAATACTGAGACCGATACAGAAATTCTGGAATTAGATCTGGATTACGAGGGAAATTATCTTTCTGAAAGAGTGTGTTTTGTGGTAGAAAATTGCCATTTAGGACGAGGTTGTACTGTTATTTAATAATCTCAAAACATTTCCGCTTTACATTTAGGAAACCGAAAAATTAAGAAAATATTAAAAAATGTAGTTTGCGTGGCGATAAATGGCAGTAGGCCATATGTGGCAAGTTCTAATAGCTTACCGAGGCCAAATGAAATAGAAAACTAATACGGGAAAGTTTGTGCCATTCTGTTGCCTACTGTGTTAGTTTGGTCAGCTGCCAACTATCACCGTCCAAAGTATATTTTTTGATTTCCTAATAAGGAATTATTACTTTAAGAATATTAAAAAACAAAAAAATATTCCTAAATGGCAATTTTCTTGGAAAAATCTGAAGCCGTTTTTAAGAAAATTGTGTATAAGCACTACAGTAAATTCAAAGTCTGAAGCTCTTTTTTACAGAAAATTTGTCAGTTCGAAAAACTTCATTTCAAGTCATTAGAATCACTTCAACTCACAAATACAATAGAGTTTACAAATTGCTGGAAAAGTGTTTATTACCTGTGTGAGAGATCTTTCATAAAAAATACATTTGTGTAATTTTTCGAAAATAAAAAACAACTAAATGAACTTTCCGTTATATTAAATGATGCAATTAGCACTTTCATTTCGAAGAGTTTGAATAAAAATTTGGACCAGTATTTGAGAAAATGGCTTTTAAGGGTTTTTGGAAATGCAGAAATTTGAGCTAGATTTGACAGACAACGGTTTTGACGGACAACTGAGTTTTCGAGAATCTTTAAATGACATTATTTAAATCACATGTCCTCCAATATAATAAAGAGAACAAATTGCCGTTTATATAAATATTAACGACGAGAGAAACTAGTCAAAAAATACATTTTTGTAGTTTGTGTAAAAACAAAAGAATGAGCAATATGGTGTTTATGTCATTTGATAGAAAGCATTATCTCTACCAAAAGTTTAAGGAAAAAATTTGGAGTAGTTTTTGAGAAATTCTGGATTTTGTAATTTTCTTAATTGCACATGTTGCAGGCAATATTCCACTAAAACTACTAAAAATTTCAAAAATGTAGAGAACAAATTTAATTTGAAAGAAAAATCTCAATCTTCAATTTTGTATTTGTAGGAAGACGCCGAAAAACTTCAAACATTTGCAATTTTCAAAAATTCAGAGTTAACCGTCTAAATCTGATCTACACCATCTTTATAAGTGTATTTATTTCTCTTATTACAAGAAATTTAAAGCAAAAATTTGAAGCCGTTTTTGTGAAATTTTGAAAATATCCGGGGGCTTCATGTAAAATGCTCCACACTTTAAAGATGTTTTTCAAAATCTCAAAGCTTCGATTCGAGCCAGATGGACAGGGTTTTCTTCAATTTGTAAAAATCCTTCGTATGGTTTAGCTAGTAGTGGTATTCACAGAGGGGCAGACGGACGTTTTGCCGTCAAATGGTTTTTCGATATCAAGGACCCACAAAACGGGGATTCTGGCTACACCACATGTTAGAGGATTTTTTTTCTTAATTTAACAAAGGGATTTATCCCCTTTTTCATAATCAGAACCCGGCATTGAATTTTTCGACCGAAAATCTACCGTTTTTTCCCGCAGCATTACGTAACATTCCCTATACTACGTATATTACTCCGTGTATACGTATATATAGGGGAATATAAAAACGTTCAACTTTCCTAATATTCTTCCATGGTTAGACGTTCACTGTAGCCAATCTAACAACATACGATCTTCACGATTTTCAATTTTTCACATTGCTATTCTTGTAAATCCATTTATATTTAATGTTGAGATCACTGATAATATTGCAAAGAAAGTAGTGCTTGAGGACTTCTTCATGGCCTCCTATTATTTTACTTTTATTCGTTTGTAATACTTTAAAACAGAAGAAAGAAAGAACAATAAACCAATATTTACATCAAATTGTTTATGTCTTTAAATGGTTTTCTTTTAAAGGCTGATTCACTTGGTGTAATAATATTCACTTTTACTTTGTAAAATTGACATTTTCCTGGAATTTCGAGGGTTGTAAGGCGGAAAGGTCAGTTTGCGTTCGGTGTTTTAAATTTAATGTTATAAATGTTTTTGACTTGTCTTGTCTTTAGAAGCTTAAATCAATGGAACTATGTCATTAAAAATTATGCTTTGATTGTTTATTGATTTTGTAAATTCTGTTGTGTATTCACAACGCTCTTTCGTGTATTGAAAAGATGTGAACTCGTTTTTTTAATAAAGCCACACATCTTGAAAACTATAACTGTTTATTCATAACTTTTCAAAAACAGTTTATCAAAGTTACAAATTTCCTGTTTATGAGGTTTACATTCCTGAAGAGATAAATCATCCATTTGTTTGGCGATTAAACATTTCAAAATCCAGAAGTTCGTTTCTACTATACATTGGGCTGTTGGTGTGTGCCTTTTGAGTTATTACAGAAATATATGCAGCCCTAATATTATTTCTTCCAGGAAATCGATTGTACATCTTGAATTTATATGCAATTATTCATTTCTGTTTAAATTTCAGAAAAATACAGTATGGACAACGATATTGCTAAAGTTAAGAAGAAGATCCGAAGAATAGAAAGAGAAGCCGCAATTACAGAACAATTAAATAGGCGTGTTGCCGAAAATATCCCTGAAATCGAAGACGGTATTCAAAATCTTGAATCCATTGATGACAAACTTTTGGAACAAGCAACTCGTGATACTGTGAAACATCTTATTAAAGAACGAGACGATAAAAGACAGCGACAAGAACAAAGACAAAATGAACGTATTGAAAAGGAAATTCAAGCTCTAAAACGGCAAAAGGCGTTGGAAATATTAAAGCAAGAATGGGAAAGGCAACAGGAAGAAAAGAAGATTCTCGAGGCGTTGGAGGAAGAAGAATTGAAAGGCAAAAAGAAAGGGAAGAGTTCAAAGTCCCGGTTAAAAAGTCGTTCAAAAAGCCGCTCAAAGAGCCGGTCAAAGAGTCGCTCAAAAAGTCGTTCAAAAAGTGCATCGAAAGGTCAAAAAAGCCGTGAGAAGGAATTGAAACGAAATAAGGAATCCAAAGAAGAACCTAAAAGATTTTCTAAAACGAAACCTGAATCAGGCAGGGAGTCTAGAAAAGAGTCTAATGAATCGAACAGAGATTCCACAAGAGAATCTAGAAAGGACTCTAGACGACCATCTAAAAGACGATCTAAGAGGGAATCTCGGAAACTATCCAGAAAGAGCTCTAGAAAGGGATCGAACATAGAATCTCTATCAGAATCTAAAAGAGAGGAAGAATCTGAACCTAAAGACCTACCCTTTCCAGACTGTTACTCCGAAAATGAATTGAATAGGCGTTTGGGAGAAGTCATGAATACATTGGAGGACCCGGACACCAATGTGCCGTCAGCTCCTGCGGAGAGATGGACGGACGAGCAGTGGGACGAATGGCTAGAGAAATGCGACCGAAGGTCTCTTTTCACGGAATTACGTGAACGCGTAGATGAGGAGGAAGTATCCGAGATGGACTACTTTCTGAATGCCATTGATATACATGAAACTCTAGAAAAAAATACCAAAACTACGGATGAGTATTTTATTCAGACCTATCTGAAACGTGAACCAGTATGTTTAATTTTTAGACATTTTTTACGGTAATAATTCATTATAATGTAATTACACTTCTGTTTCGTCTAGGTGGAGGATTTTGAAAGTGATATCACCAGCAATATTTTCTCGACAGACTTGGAAAAAGAGATAATTCAAGATTCGACTAAAACTAAATTTCCTTTGACATACGTTACAAAAAAGCAACACATTCTCGATAAGGAGCAAAATTTGGCCCAAGAAAAAAGTAAAGTTGAAGAAGACCTTGAAAGACGCCTCAGAAGCCTTCAAGAAATTAAGGTAAATATTGTAGTTTTAATGTGTAATAAGTTTTGCATTTTAATTACTGTAAAAGGAGGATAATATTTGATTCACCTTCTCAAGTCTAAAACTACACTACTATATTATTTGTTCTATCCACTCATTTACAAAATGTAACAAAAACTAGTAGAGAAACTGTGTAAAAATATTTAAAATCTATTGTAATAAAAATATGCAAGCCAAGAGCATTGAGTTTTCCTGTTCTAGGAACAGAGAAACCTTAGAAAAATGCAATCAGTAAAGCAAGACCTAAAGACATATTCAAATACAGACCGTCTGGTACAACCATACTCGATGTGATTGATATCGACTCCCTAGAGTCGAATTGTACTATCTTGGTTGGACAGTTTCAACACAAAAAGTTGGAGGTTGATGACAGCTAAAAATTGACTACCTTTCGCATTGACTATTTTAAAAATTATATTTTTATTATTTATTATTGTTATTATCATTATTATTAGTATTAGTATTATTATCGTTAATAATAACATAACTATTATTTGTTAATTCCAAACGTATACGATTTCAATCGATAGAACCAAATTAATTGACGTTATAAATGCAAACTTTATACTGAGGCAGGCGTTTTCAATCTAGTTAGTATTCTTATAGATGACAATGTGGAAGGGGTCGGGGCCAAATCAAAATGACAGCTTCGACTCAAATGAATATAAACACATACTCACCACAAGTTCATATTAGTACACGCGTAATTAATTTAATAAATCCAAGGAAGTACGAGGAAAATATTTGCGATCCACGAACTTGATTGATATTATTCCTAAACTCTTGGTATAGCTGAATGGTACCAAGACTTTCCAGTATTAGGTTTCTTTCTTTTTTTAATGGAAATATTATTTTAAAAATATTAAAGAACAGTAAACTCTGTACCTAAATGGCAATTTGCTTTGAAAATTTGGAACTAGTTTTTAAGAAAATGGTGCTTATGTGCTACAGTAAATTCCAAATTTAAAGCTCTTTTTCACAGACTTTTTTTGAGTTTTCGAAAAACTTTATTACATGTCATTTGAAACACTTTAACTCACAAATACAACAGGGTTTACAAATTGCTAGAAATGTGCATATTACCGGTGTGTGAGATCTTTCATAAAATACATTTGTGTAAGTTTTCAAAATAATATCCCGAAATAAATTCTACGTCCCAATAAAAGGTAAAATTAGCACTATCCTTTCGAAACATTTGGAGCTGTTTTTTGAGAAAATATCGTTGGAACCATCCTGAAAATGGGAAATTTTGAGCAAGTCTTGACAGAAAACGCTTGAGGTTTCGAGTAGCTTTATCTAGCATTATTTAAAGCACATGAACTCATAAATATAATAATGTGAACAAATTCCCACTAATGTAAATATTAATGACGTGAGAGTCAAGTCAAAAAATACGTTTCAATACGTAAAATTACATTATAATTTTTGAAAAAACAAAATAATAGAGCAATATTATATTATCTTTTAGAGTGCATTTAACACAATCCCTTCCAAAAGTTTAAAGAAAAACATTGAAGACATTTTGTAAAAAAACTTATTTTTGTATTTTTTAATTACACGTAAGATTGCGCGTAAACTACTAATATTTAAAAAAATATTACACCTCACCTTAATGAAAAAGTATGGACAACAAATTTTATTTCAAGGAAAAATTTCCATTTTAATTTTGTAGTAGTAAAAAGACCCGAATTAAACTCAAATATCTGAAATTTTCCGAATATTCAGAGTTTAGACCAATTCCACCTTCATAGGTGTATTTGACTATATTCTGAGAAGAAATTTGAAGAAAAAATTTGCAGTCAATTTTGATAACATTTTGAAAATGTCCCAGAGTCGTCATGTAAAGTACCTCCCAAAACTAAGGAATGATTTTCAAAATCCCAGAGCTTCGACTCAGGCCAATTGGACAGGGGTTTCTTCAATTTGGAAAGAAATCCTACGTATTGTTTAGGTGCTGGTGTTGATCATATACACCGTACGTAAGGACATTCATACGCCCATTTTGAAAAAAAAACTTTTTCGTTATTAGGGGACCCCGAAACCCTTATTTCCGTTGAAATCTCGCAATCGATTTTCCGTGCCATCACATACCTTTGCCTATACTACTTATATTACTTCGTACATACGAACGTATACGGGAAAGTTATTATTTTTCAATTAATCTTCATTTTTAATAAAGTGACTTAACATTGCTCTTTTTATTCGATTTTTCATAAATCAACAAAATAAAATTTAAAAATTTAAAATGCAAATTCAAATAAGGTGCTAGTAATCGTTTAGGGTCTTCGATGTGGCTGGATGTGACATTTCAAAAAATGTACTTTGGGCGGCTGTAGATAGTAGCTAGCAAGAGTATGTGGCAAGTCCGAACGGCTAGCCCAGACCAAAGAAAATAGAAAACTAATACGATAAAAAAATCTGTGTCATTCTGTAGCTCCCCTAGTTACCAATACTTTAATGTCTTAAACACTCACATTCATGCATTCACACCTGACCGCAATTAAAATAAATATCTAAGTTACTTTGATATATAGGGTGAAGAGACAGTGTCAGAATTAATCTTAAATATGAACATTTCGGAATATGCTATTAAATGTAAATAAACGAACAGGCCGCTCCTATCCAATAGACACGCACTTGATAAACTCAGTCGTTGATATCAGTTGTCATTTTCTGGCGCGCAGATAAACTACTTGCCCATTGTTGAACTCTTGAATCTGTAATGTAATTGCTAGGCGAAAAACGTTCACAAAAAAAAATTTTTTTTGTAAATATATTTAGGTTTACGGTTGTAAATCCCAGCCTGTAGTACTCCTGACCTTCAAATAAAGCTAGCACAAAAGTTTCTTCCATTTCGATTTAGTTCATTCACAGATTATCGCGATATGTATGGTAGATGTAAGGATGTACGGATATGGACACAGATATAGATATAAATATTGAAAATAATAATAAAAATAACTGCTTGAGAAACTATAGAAAGTAAAAAAAAATATGAAAAAATCATTTCCTGCTATCTCAATGTTTTAATGAAAAATTGTGTATGTACTGATATGTATGCATTGATGCAGATGTACAGTAATTAAAGAATCATACGTATGTTCTCATGTCATTTTCTTTCAGAGACATATGGATCTAGAAAAACAAGCATTTACTTGCCATAAGGACGAACGAGATTATCGTAAAAAGCTTCAACGTGATCATATTGCTAAAAGAATTTTTCAAGATCTTGGTGTTAATATTGCAAATATGTCAGAAAGCAGCAACAGTGTGATCGACCGTTATATAAAAATGCAGAAACAGAAACAGAACTGTGAACATCGGCAAATACAGCGACGTATTGAAATTCTGAAACGACTATTGGCAGAAGAAAAAAAGAAACATTCTTTGAACAAAGTAATTATCATAAAACTATAATTATTTTATTGTTTAATAACAACTTAATTGAAATTGTAAACGCTTATGGAGACCGCAAGCGTCATTTAACTATACTACATAATATAAATATAATATAATAAATAAGAAAACTAATCTAAAATACTATTTTCCAACGATCTTTGATTCTGTCCATGTAAACTCTAAAAAAATATAACAATCTATTCACAAAATTTCAATGAAATCAACTTACGTTGAACTGTCAGTGAACTCCGTTGCCATTAAATGATATTAGAACATTAATTTAATAACAAATATCAAATACTGAAGTGAAATGTAGATAAGATTGCAAGTGATATTTCTAAGTTAATTATGACTTATGACACATACTTTCTCCCATTACTTCTAGATTTCACCATTTTTGAAACTAACGAGTTCAACGAAAATAAGACGTACACAATGTTTTAGGCGGTCTATCCGTGGAAAAATGTAAGAATAAATTTGGAGCCGTTGTTTAGATTTTTTAATTACGTGAACTTCAAGCAAAAATAACGCGAAAACTACTCGTTTTCTCGAAATAAATGAACTTTTTTGTAATATCTAACTTTTAGAAGAGATTTCATTAAGAAAACTAGTGGTGCTAAAACTGCACATACATTCTCGCCCTTAGTAATGGTTATGTAATACTATTTATACCGGAATTTCTCTCCAAATCAACATACCTAACCATATTTTGTAAACGGTCAAATTGTAGAACATTTGGTGCGAAAACTAAATATTTTCAACAATATTCAACATTTTCTAAATATTTTCATCACAATTGTAACAATTATAACTGCTCGTCATGCAGCTAATGACGCATCCCAACAATGAGTCGAAATTCGCAGAAATTCAGCTGCTTCTTTGCGACGCGGAATGCCATTATTGCATTCTCCCTGAAGGAAAGTAATTTCCTTTCATATTGCATTTACATAGTATTTTTAATAGAGAAAACCTAATCGAGCTCATTTTAAGTAAGGTTTGCGAATTGCTTGAAAGAAAATACATCAATACATTCCTCGCAACACGGACAAAATATATAGGTTTTCCAATAGGTTTTAAATAATTTCTAAAACATTAATTTGTATATCTAAATAAAAGCTGTAAAAAACGAACAAAAAATATGTAATAATATACTAATTGTAACTTTCGTAGCATCCAACTGCGTGGAATCACTTCTCACATTACGTTCATGAACCGCAGGAAATTCGAAGCGGGTGAATGTGATGAAAAATTACACAAACAATAATCATATTCCAAACATTGAACGTGAACTTATTTGAAGATCTTTTTTCATGAACATATTTAATTAATAAAAAATGAATCTTCATAATTGTAGATGTAGGAAGACGTCGAAAAATAATATTTCTTTTAATTTTCGAAAAATAAGGGATTTCAAGGAACACGAGACGTGCATCATTCTCTTAATCGTCCTTTGCGCCATCTAAGGTCCATTTTTAATCAAGTATTTTTGTGCCTTTTTAAGGCAAAAATGGTTTAATAAAAATACAAATTGCCTATGTTTAACACAAAATTACTACAAAATACTCATATTTTAGAAAAATTGAACATGATATAATTTGAAGATGTTATTTATGAACACATTTTTTTGACGAAATGTTTGTCATCAAAATTGTAGTTGTAGGAAGAATGCCCGGTGAAATGTTGAATTTTTTTCAATTTTTCGTTTTCCTAAGGATAGAGCCGAAATATAACTTTTAAGAATATTACCGAAGAATAAAACTTCGTTCTACAAGTGCATTTTCGGACAAAAATTGGGAGCCGCTTTTATGAAAATGGCATTTAGGCAATACTGTGAATGCGAAATTTGAAGGAATTTTTTCACAGAAATCTTTTGAGTTTTCGAAAAATTTAATTTGAAATAATTTCAAGCACATTCAGTCACAAATGTAATAGTAATTACACATTGTTGGAAATGTGTATATTAAAGGCTTGAGAGAATTTAAAAAATACAAGTGAGTAATTTTTGAAAAAAAAACAACAAATTTATAACGCAAAATGAATTTTATGACACCTCAAACAGTGCAATTAGCTCAATCTGGTGGAAAAGTTTGAAGAAAAAATTGGGGCAGTTTTGAGAGCGTTTCTAAAAATGCGGAATATTTTGCTAGCTTTAACAGAAAACTGTTGCGTTTCCGGGAAAATTTATCTGACATTATTTACATCAAATGTACTCATAAATACATTGATGTAAACAGATTGTCGCTAATGTAAATATTAATGACGGGAGAGTAAAGTCAGAAGAAACAAAGTTTGTGATTTATGAAAAAACAAAACTAAAAAGCAATATGGCGTTTATGTCATCTCATAGATTGCATTTATGACTATCCCTACCAGAAGTTAAAAGAAAAAATGTGGCATTTTTTTGAGAAAATCATGTTTTTTTTAATTTTTTAAAATTGCAAATATTGCACGCAATTTTGCTCGGAAAGTACTAAAATTTTCAAAAACAAATATACATTACATTAATGAAAGAACTAATTACGGACAATACATTTTATGTTAGGTAAAAACCTCTATCTTCAATTTTGTGTTTGCGGGAAGGTGCGGAAAAAATTCAAACATTTGGTATTCTCAAAAATTAACCGGACTCGTCAAAATCGGACCTACGTCGGAGAAATTTTAAAGGAGGTTTTTCAAAATCTCAAACCTTCCTCTCGAATTAGATGAATACGTTTCTTTAAGTTGGATAAAAAATACTGCGCATGGTTTAGGCGCTAGTGGTGTTAACAGACGGACGTTTTTTGGTATTAGGGGACCCTAAAACGTGTACTTCTGTAAAAACATCGAAATCGATTTTCCGCAGCATTACGTAACTTTCTCTTCACTACATAAAATTACTCCGTATATACGTATGTATGCGGTAAGGTAAAAATGTGAAAAATCATTTTTTGAGTAAATTTGGAAATGTCCTCAGGGGCTTCGTGTAAAGTATCCCCAGATTTTAAAGATTGTTTTTTTTTTCAAATTGAGTCGAGCCATATTGACCGGGGAATGTTCATTTTGAAAATAAATCCTCCATATGCTTTCAACGCTAGTGGTGTTCGCAGACGGTCGGACGATTTGAAAAAACTTTTTCGGTATCAGGGGATCCCAAAACGAGTATTGCCGTTGAAATCTCGAAATCCGTTGAGATCCAAATAAAGTTGGAAATAACCGTTTTTGCCAAGAATTGATATTATTCGCCAAGCGAATGCACATGGTTTCGACAACGCTACGCTACCAACAGTGTGTTGCTTGCATCTTTAAATTTTGCTTCCTGTTTGTTTCATTTGTCAAAGTAAGAAATGATTCCTGCTCCTGACTATCGAAATGAATGCAGATATTCCTCACAAGTGCTTTGTTTGAATTGTTGAATTGGACGTGTCAAGTAGTAGCTGAGAATTTAGTAGCAGAGAAAATGCAATATTTATATATTACGTAACTAATAACGCGAGAAAGTATGTGTTGTTGTGGCTCCACTCCTAGCAGTATTGTTTGTTGCAACGTTTGCTTGTTTTTGTTCGGAATGCAAATAATACGCAATTGTAGATATCAACTTTTTCGACAATCCTGTTATTATCGACCTCAGAATAGACCAATCACGTATACGATTCTTGCTTTTGGCGATGCCTGGAAGTATTCGTTTATCTTTTTGAAAATTGATCGCGCCAACTTGGATTGGCCACAGTAATGAAAGTCATCTAATGGGTTCCATGGGTGATTCACTGGTGGGCTGTGCGTGTCGAGGGGAGTCTAACGTAGGACGGGGATTAAGAGCTTTGCGACCCCCCAGAGACACCTACGTGATACAAAATAATTTCTGAAAATTATTTGCAGACAGTCTGTAATCATGTGACGGGTAATGGATTTTTCAGATAAAAGATTAGGGGAAAAGTTCTGAAAACCATGTTATACAATGTTCTCAAACACAATTTTTCAAGTACTAATAATAAATCCTGGGATCCTCTCATGCAATCTCTCCGGGTTAAAATGGAGAGGGTGTATTGTTAGCATTAATAATTTTTTCTTAACTATACTTTGTAATGCCTAAAAACTTTCAACCCACTCACAATATGTATTATATTGTGTTTTAGATTTTCTAATAAATATGTCACTTCAGGTTTCAGAAAGCCTGCCTCGAAAACAGAGAATATTTCGAGATTTTCGTATGGGAGAAACTGCAATGCCTTATCACGAGTTTGATAAAAGTGATATAGATACACAAGACCTTCCGAGTATTTATCCCGAAATGCCATTCGAGTCAGAACACACATATGAAGATTACGAAGAAGAAGAAAAAGACGACATTAAATTAAAGGAAAAACGAAAAAAAACTCGAAAATTTTCTAAGAAAAGATCAAAAACGTCAGAAGCTTCCGTGTCAGGATCGGCAAGAAAACGAAAAATTCGAAGCGCTGGAAGCAAACCAAGCAAAATGAGTAAAAGAAGCAGGAGCAAAAAAAGCAAGGTAGGTAGTCATTACTGTGACGGGCCATTCGGACGCGTTCGAATGATTATGCACCAAAATAACTAAAATTGAGATATTTAATAAAGAGACAGTCGGAGGTGCAAGGCTAAAGTGTAAAGAGACAAGCATATCTGAAAATCCAAGGAATTGTGCTTAGCAGAACTGTAAATAAATAAACCAAGAACATTTAGGAAATATATACAGTTACTCGAACTCTAGGTTATGATAGAATAACGAAAAAAATTTATTAAATGAATGTTCGTATGTTTGGCAAAGATGATTTTTTTATAAGCAATGGGCGATTGCACAAACGTTTAGAAGATAACAATATTAGGAATTTGGAAAAGGGAAAGGTAATTAAATTTATTATATGAATATTAGTTATAAATTATTACAATGAAGAAATCAAGGAGATCTAAAGGCATCTGGAAATTGGAATGTAAAAGTATACAGCGAGTTTGACAGAAGGGAAGAGCTGTCCTTTGATTTCAAACTGTACGGTAAACAAGAA